GGGGACTAGTTCCACAGATTCAAAGGATGGTTACCGTTTTCCGACCTGACACCTACGACAATGCCAAAAGGTTGGCCTTCAGTCTAACATAACAAGTAGTTTGTCAAGAAACCTTGGTCAAAAAGGATGATACTGCAAGGGCTGAGGATAATAAGAAAAAATAAGATGATAATTCTAAGGGAAACTCAAGACAATCCCATGGAAGAAACATGACATCAAGAAAGTTTATGCTGCAACAACCCTTCCAAAAAAACAGTACAAAGGAAAATTCCCCAAGTGTGATTAGTGCAACTATCACCATATGGGTGAATGCAAGGAACACTTATGTCGCCATTGCAACAAGAAATGGAACTGATACAAGTACTGCTGAAACACAAACCTGGAGTAAGTACTAATAGAAACGGAGAATGTTAGGAATGTCGTGAACAAGGGCATTCAAGAGGAATTGCCCGAAACTGACAAAATCAAGGAAGAAATGCTTGATGCATAGCATTTGTGATTTGCATAAGGGATGATATCCAGGATCCATTCTTGTTAACTGATAAGTTCCTTGTTAACAACTTGCATGCACGTTGTACTATTTTAATTTAATAATGATAGGGGTTTATAATCACTAAGTTTAGACGCTCGCTAAATCATAAATCCAGTAGACTTAAAGAAACTACGCACAAACATGTAAATAGCCATATGCATAAATTTGTAAATGACTGAAGGCACAATATGTATACAAATTTAGGTGACTAGAGGCACAAATATGTAAATAAACAAATAGATGAACAAATGCTTATATAGGTGACACATGTACGTATATGCATATATGTACATATATTTAGCTTAATCATAACTATGAACATATCCACATATGTGTATATATACACATACATATATACAGGCACATGTACACATATAATAAGGACCACTGATTTATTTTCCAAAGCCATTTATTAGTTTAACCATTTGTAACATCAAAAAATCTAAGTAATTAACCATGGATCTCCAATTTAGGTTTCAATACCATAAATTCAATTAATTATAAAACAAAAAACAATCAACACAAGGATAATCAAATCAATGAATGTAATCAGATCATTCAACTAATAACTAAGATCAAGAAACGATTCATTTTCATCACAAAATTTCCAATAATAAATATCCTTATTCTAATAAATGAATATGTTTATTCTCCTATTGACAAATGTCATACTATTAGAACTCTTCATTAATATTATATGTCATCTATCATGCTACTTGTCAACCTATTAATTATCAATTAAATTTCTCACTCTAATTACATTAAATTAATAATTGAGTCCCCATTTTAAATTTCAAATTTTAAGTATTTTCACTCGAATTATATTAAATTAATAACATTATATTAAAAAAAATAAAATAAAATAAATACAGATTATAATGTGATATAACTTCACGTATTTATTTAAATCAACGATTATAATTTATATAACTAAAAAAATATCTCTTAAGTAATTTTTTATTTAAAATAATTTATTAATAATTTTGATTTTTTAATATGATAGTTTAATTAATTTTATAACTGTGGTTCTCACGGGTTATAAACTAGTATGTAAATAACTTAAAAAGAATCAATCATGTAGATTTTGTAGAAATTAAAAGAAAAACACTAACAACTATTTTGGGAACACTTTTTATGACATGCAAGCGATCGTGAAGAATTTCGAATCGATGAAGGAAGTTGCATATTGATGGCGGTTTTAGATTGGTGAACTTAAAAAAATCTCAAAGCTGCCTGCTCGATCCAGAATAATTTTTTTCCTGCTTGGAATCTCAAATCTGCTTAGGAGAACAAGGCTCATATCTCCTTGGAGTTTCCTGACGCGGAGAAGAACAAGGCTCCTATATCGTACTAAGGGAAGAAAAACTACCTCATATTGAACATTAGAACTCTAATAAAAAATCACTCCAACCTTCGATTAGCCATTAGAAGTAACAACACATCAGAAAGAGAGGACAACTAGTCCGACCGTCGAAGATTGAAAATAGGGGCGATTTAAATACATAAGAAGGAAAAATGATTGGAAACCAAACCTGTAATGCATCCTTCTGATGGATGTCGATAACAAACATGTTTCTAACGAGTGAACTGTGATCATGATGCGCCATCTTTCTAACAACACTAATACACTAAAAGTGTCTTACATGCGTACAGGTAGATACCTAATAAGCAAACTACATGGGGGAAATAAATGGTTGTTTGATCTTCACCGCATCCTCGGATCAAGTGGTTTGATGTAATTATGCCTACGTTAAGTACTTTCTTTTCATATATACATACTAAAAGCAAGTAAAAAGGTATGTTTAGAAACAAAGTAATGTTGGTTGCCATATGTGTGACATTATACATGCTTGTCTCCCTTTTTGTACTATATTTATTTTAGTGTATCATTGTCAATGTTCTAAAAAGCTCGTCATGACTCCAAAATTTTTACTTGACGCCAATATTTAACAAAATGTCGCATTAAATTATATATTTATACACAAATAAATAATAATAGAAAAAATATATACATAATATTATTAGTTATATACAGAATTGTCGCCTTAATTCACGCCTAATGTTATTAAAACCTTGATTATTATGCATTGCGAAATGAGATAGAGATATAGTACAAGGAGTTCTTCCGGAGACAACAAAACATATTTAAAATATAAGAAGATAATATCAAAAAATGGTTTTAGACGGTGATGGCAACGTCCAAAAACAAGTGATAGAGACACATGTTTTAAACTAGGGATAATGACTTGAACGGGTAACTAACTATAGGCTTTATACATATTTGGTCACTTAACTTTTTTTGATGCATTGTTAACCCTTGAGATTGTTTTTTGTTTAAAACACACCACTATTACCTGCAATAGCAGGTAAAACCTGTTTTGGGTTTTTAGTTCCACCTCCGGTGGCATTTCCGACGGACGTAAGCTCCTACGACTGGTCGTCTCCTACGTCGACATTTCCAGTTTTTTTGTTACAATCTTCTCCATAGTTAAATCACATAAAAATAACTTCAAAAATGTTTCTCTAATCTTGTTTCTTCTCTTTCGTAGCATGTATGCCCCAGTTCAAGATGTTCATATCCAATATCAGCAAAAGGAAACCCACATTTCGTATGTTTCACTAGGGTTCTTGCAAAACCCTACAAATCGCAACATATTTTCAACCAAGAAAAAACTGAAAGCGGTAATCATAGAAATCGTTAACAGATAGCGATCACAAAATTAGTTCCAATTTGATTGATCAATCATACACGGGATTTGAAAAATAACGAACACGATGATATGGATGAACCCTAAAATCACTGCTACAAAAAAATCAAACCAGAAACATAAATCGTTTGATGATAATGAAGTATCAAGATGAATCGATTTTGTAGGTAAGATTAATTCTGGACCCCTCAAACAGATACAATGAATATGTACAATACTTTGAAGAACAGATGAAATAAACATGGATGCGATGAACAATTAGATACATCTCTTTCCATTTAATTTATCATAATATTGAGAATTAATAAGGATTCCAAAAGCAAATGAGTGAACAAACAAATAATTAGTGAGTCAATGAATGAAGAGCGGCAGATTCAACATATTTGAGTAATGAAAAGAATAAGAAATTTTAGGTTTTGTTGTTACCGTTTCTGTGTTTTAGAAGAAATACTCTAAGGTGAGTTACAAAGAACAGTGTTTGAATTTTGTTGTTTACCGAATTTCTTCTATTATGCATAAATAAGAGAAAGATTTAACAAGAACATTTGCCAAGAACTCACCGGAACAGTCATTTGACCGAAAAAATGACCGGAAAATCATGTTTGGCTGGAAACAACGCAGGAAACCGGCAAAACCCACTATTACCGGTCATATTGGTATAATGTATATGTTTCAACAAGTTCAAGGATTAATAAAACATGAAAATTAATTTAGTGACCAAAGATGACCAAAAGCTAAATTACATTACCCTCTTAAGTCATTATCCCTTTAAACTATGTATACATTATAAAACATATAATAGAGATATCTATGCATGATTTTGATGAAAAATTATGGTAGCCAAAAAAATTGGCAAGTCGCAACATATATATATATATATATATATATATATATATATATATATATTATATATATATATATATATATATATATATATTTATTTGATCAGTGAAAGAAATTAGCAAGTCACAAATACATTTTTTGATCTCATGGTAGTGAAAGATATTGGCAAGTCACAACTCACAATATATAAATAAATCTTTTAAACCTAGCTAAAGGTAAAGGTGTTGATTGGGTAAATTTTCGGATTTCTGGTAATTCGGGTTTTTCATGTTAAAAAAAATACCCGTTACCCGACCCAAATTAAATCCGGGTAATTCGGGTATTACCCGATTTTTTTAATGGCACCTAAAAATAAATTTAATGAAATAAATATGTCGTGTTCAAACTTTGAACATTGAGATTTTTTAGTCAATAATACTTGAGATATCAAGTAATCGTTTAACAACTTAATCTAATCTAATAAGATGTTAAAAAAACAAATACTTAAAGATCTTAGTTTAAAAGTTGAATCTCATAATAGAATCAAAAAAGAGTTTAATATATAGACTAGATTTATTACTGGGAAAATACCGGCTATAGTAAAAAAATAGGGGGTAAATTCAAAATTTAGACATGAAAAATGAAAATTCCGGATATAGACATGAGTTCCGCGGAGGAACCTCGGCGGACCTCCGCGGAACCATGAATCCTCCACGGAGAGGGGTAGTTTTGTAATTTCACCCTCATATTTTTGACAACAATGACTCCTCCTCTTTTGTCCCCCACTGGTCCCCCGATTCCTCTTTGGCAAAAACCCTTCCTCCGCATCGACTGTGTATATCGACAATTCCGGCGACGACTTCAAATCCGACGACAACGACATCAAACGACGTCATTTTCTAGCGATTCGAGTACATACGACTTCAAATCCGGCACCGATGGAGGGCAATTTCACCGATATTTTAGCCGATGGATTCGGCTCCTGGGTATTTCTCACATTCCCCTCTTTTGATTAATATCGTAAACGATTCAATTGTTACGAAAACCCAATTGATTACATGGAATATATATACAGATTTAGATTTGGGATGTTAGGGTTCACATGATTCGATTTTGGGAAGATCCATTCCGCGGAGAGATACGTCATTCCGCAGAGGATCCTCCGCGGAGTGATGTATTTCCTCCGCGGAATGATTTAAGTGACCAAAATTTGAGTCTCCACAGAGGTGTAGGTCACTCCGCAGAGGGTTCTCCGCGGAATGACCTCTAGCCTCCGCGGAATGACCTGAAAATGCTCTTTTTCCAAAAAAAAAATTGCCCTTTTATATCCCTTTATATATGAGGTATTTAGTATGTTGCTATTTATTTCATAAAGCGAATTCGAAAAGTAATTTTGAAACTTTGTTTTTTTATTTTCAATTACTAACGTTTTATATGAAATTAAATATTATGTTTTGTCGCACGATGATCTCAATCAAAAAGCGGATTTAACTTTAAAATGTGTGGTGGGTACTATCATTAAAGACTATTTTTCGCGCCTAACACAATCACAATGACTATTATTCGAAACTTTGCCGTTTGGAATATTCTTAGGAATGCATATCCCACATGGTGATCCCTTACTTGTGCATTTTATGATGTTGCACGAAGTAAGGTCTCAACAAGTATTTGAAATGGAGAGGTTTCTTTTTGATATACAGGGGATGCAGTTGGATTTTGGTGAAACTGAATATATTCTCATTTGTGGTTTAAAAGTTGGTCCTTATGTGGATTTACTCCATGACGAAAAAGGTCGGTTAAATTCAAATCTTCGTGCTAGGTTGTTCCCAGACATTTCTGATGCACGTTTGTGGCTGAAATATTTAGAAGACTACATTATGTCTCCGCATTATTTGTCACTTCAGGATGAAGATGCTTTAATGCTTATCCAGCTTGTTTTTATGTTGAAAGGTCTCCACGGACGGGACTTTAAAACGGGCATTCCGGCGGCAGTATACAAGCTTGCTGATAATATAGATGATTGGAACAGGTATTACATTTAAAGATTGTGTATAAATACAATAATAATAATTATAAAAAATAAATTGAAAATTGCAGGTTTGCATGGGGTACGTATTTCTGGACCTATACTTCGCAGTTAATGCGTGGAGTGTTTTAGAAAATAGAAGAATTTAGACTATTCAAGAAGGCCAATCCCAAATCCAAGAAAGTACACAAGTATACCGTTCGCGGTTTTATGCTTCCGTTTAAGGTTAGTTTCTAATGCATTTAAATAGTTATCATAGTTTTGTTTTTTATACGATAAAAACATTGAACTTCGGTTTGTAGTATATAATACCGTTGTATTTTGATTTTTATACTATAATAGCATGATACTTACATTTTTTTCCATAGATATGGATTTTGGAGACGTTCCCCGACGCAACCCAATTTTATATACGCACGCCGACAGAATTGCCACGGATGAGGTCGTGGAGAAGTAAAACACCGTTAACTTGGGCTCAATGTCGTCGAATAATCAACGTGTATGCGGTATGCTTTTAATATTAAGGATTATATATATTTACAAATTCCAAAGTTTTTTCATGTTAAACTAACAATCTGATTTTTACAGCCTAACAACCAACCTATTTCTGTCGTGGCAAACCCGACGGAGCTGATGTTGTCGTTTTATGTTCGCTACGTGAATTGGACTCTTAACCATCAAGAGTCTCCCCCATGGAAACATACTCCGGTCCGAAATAGTCCAGAGTCTCCCCCACCGCAACATACTCCGGTCCGAAATAGTCCACCTGTTGTTGCCTCACCTCCTCGAAGAAAGAAGTACAAGTCGGAAACATCTTCGACTTAATCTGCCACAAATGCTTCTTCCTCGCAACATCCTGAAATAGAAAGAACTTATACGTCAAGTGACACATTAACATTGTTGGTAAAGAAGAAGAAGACGAGCACAAAGGCATTAGTGAAGCATCTACTAGGCATTGTGGCTGACTTATCTTCTAAAGTAGATCGTGTATTACAGAAAAAAGATGAGCCAGACACAGGGTTTGGAGAGGAGGAGGAGGAGGAGGAGGAGGAGGAGATGATAAATGAATAGGAGGAAGAAATATATTACCATGGTACAAAGTTGAACGATAATATAGGTAGTCATGGTTTGGAGGGGGAAGTTGGGCGTACACCTACGCATGTTGAGCCGTCACTGGACGTGGGTGAACATCACACAAAAACAGTGACTCCTATTGTTAGGCCGCAACGAAAGAGGGGTGTTCCTTGGTATCAGCGGACTCCGTTCATAGTGGTACAAAACTCATATTTTAAATTTGGTATATTTATAAAATATTACATTATTGATAATTATTTAACATGTTAAATTTTTAGATGTAATCCACACCAAAAGTGAAGAAAATCACCGAAACAAGGAAAAAAAGCAGTGGAGAGTCCTGAAAAAGCAAATGAAGACATTGTGAATGAAGAGAGTAATGATGTTTCAAATCATCTATTGGTGGACAGTGTTCATGCTGCTAGTACGTTGAGTTTTTGGAAAGAATGGAGTATGATCTCTTCCAAACTCAACACTAAACATAGGCTGCATATACTCCCACTGGATGTGGAGTTTTGGTCGAGGTTACTTGCAGTTACTGACTCTGGGTGGTTAATTTCTTCGGTAACATTTGTTAAATTTAAATTTTAACTACTTTTTTAGACGATAATTTATATAAATAATTGTAACATTTTTATCTTAAAATGTACAACATATTGCGATATGGAGTGTCTTGCTCATGGAAAGACGATCGACGAACGCAAGGTGGACGATATATCCTCAAGAACTCAATTTGCAACCCGGAAAATCATTTCATTTTAGGAATGTAGCAAATGGTGTTGGAGGCCGTCCTAAATGGAAGGATGTGGATATGGTTAGTTAAGTTTAATAATTATTTATTTATATATATAATATTACTGAATTTACGACTATTTAATTTATTTTTTGTTTGCAGGTTCTATTCCCCATAAATGTTATTGGTACCCATTGGTTTATGGCAGTGCTACATTTAGATACCTGGAAAGTAGATATTTATGATTCAGCACGATCTATGAATTTCTTCCCAAAGTACTTTACTGGTGGAGAATTCAAAAGTTTTGGAGATAGTATTATCTCAGAGTTAGATGTCATTGAGTACTGGAACGATTTCCCCGTTGGACACAAAGACAAAGCAAGTGTGGAGTTTATTGATATTGTAGACGCGCCACAACAAGAATATACTCTTGATAGAGGGGATTGTGGAGTATTCGTATGCATGTTTATGGAAATGATTGTTTCGGGGGTACCGGTGAAGATTGATAAGCTACATAGAGATGCGGGATTTCTCTACATAAATAGGATGACAAATATTATTTGGGATACTATATAACTTGATTTTAGGAACTTTGTATATATATTAATATGAATACTCGTTTTTAGTAATTTTGTTTAATACAAATATGTGTTTTTTTTATTTTTTTGTTATACATTCAAACAAAATAAACATTACAAATAACATAAAAACATTACCAAAAAAATATCATAAAAATAAACATTACGAATAAGATGTACGACTAACAAACATTACATAAAACATTAGAAATACGGAAACAGTGGTCTACATGAAAAAAGGTTTATTTTAACCAGATTCCAAACGTCCGTATACTCGAAATCAGTTCCATCAAACTCGCACAGGTAATATCCGTTCACGTCTTCAAGAAGTTCTTCATCGTCTGCATGAGAGCATCACATTTTCTCATAATTGTAGCATCGATTGAACCATGTTACTTTATTCTTTAAATCCATCCATTTACTAATAATATCGGGTTTTAGCCGTTCTTATCCTTGTCCCACCTCATAGTTGAACAAATCTATTAGGCAGGACCATTCATCACCTACAAGGCAATGAGTGGGAGCCATTACTGGTAGACCATCGTAAACGGTAATCCAGCATCGTGTTAGGACCAAAACCCCTGTTGTCGTCCATGGAGATGTACCATTTGTTGGAGCTGACGCATTTGACGGATTTGCTGCATTCGAAGAAGTTGGTACATTGGACGCCATTTTGTGAAATGATCCCTATTGTCAATTAAATATGTGAATTTCATATAGATAGAAGGTTTACTATATATAAAAATATAGGTTATATGGACTGACAAGTCAGTTATGCGGACTGACAAGTCAGTTATGCGGACTGTCAAGTCAGTTACGCGGACTGACAAGTCAGCTTTGCAGACTGCCAAGTCAGTTATGCGGACTGACAAGTCAGTTATGCGGACTATCAAGTCAGTAATGCGGACTGTCAAGGTTTACTATATATAAAAAGATAGGTTATGTGGACTGACAAATCAATTATGTGGACTGTCAAGTCAGTTACGCGGACAGACAAGTCAGTTCTGCGGAATAATGTATACTGATTCCTATTAAATTGGACAAGCATTTTCATTTTTACAAGGTGTCGAAAGTTGTGAAAATGAGTTCAGTCAATCAGGTATTAAGAAAAAGTTTTTCCAACCTACCGAGTTTTTTCCAAAATCTGCAAAGAACCAATCCTAACACCTTCACGTACATTACGAAAGATCAGTACAATCGTTTCAAAATTTGTTTTGTGGCATTGGGATGCGTGGTATGTAATCCCTTATAGTAAATATTTACTTATCTGAAGTTGTTATATGGCTAATATTCTTATATTCACTTACAGATTTGTATGTTTCTCACGTCTATGATACCAATCATATTCATTGGTCAAGTACCTCTAATTGGGACGTACGTAACATCCATGTACAATGCGGTTGACTTAGATGGAAATCATGAACCCCTTCTCATAGGGTTTGCTTTGGGAACCATAAAATGTGACGATTCATGGTTATGGTTCATGAGGAGGCTTAAAGAATGTTTAGGTGACAATACGGAAGTTGGTTTCATAAGCCATATGTCTGATTCCATAGACTTTGCAGTTCAAAGAGTCTATCCTGACTCATATCATGGCTATTGTTGTAAAACTATAGCTGATAAAATACGCGCTTCCACCGGAAGCAATACAGTTGTAGAGCAGTTGTTCTGGAAGACATTTAAAGCATATAATACGTCTGATTTTATGCATGTTTTAACAACTTACAACATAAGGTGAATGGGAATGATCGTGATTGGCTTGACAATATTCCCATTGCAAACTAGGTACGAGCTTTTTTCCCTAAAGTACGTTTCAATGTTAAATTCATTGACATTCCCGATGTTGTCAATTGGATAAGAACAAACAGACATGAGTTTCCAATAACAACAATCATTGAAATGGTCCATGACTCGATGCAAGCAGTGTATGTTCAACGTGCTGCATTCGGAGGTAATTATAAGTTATGACATCACTCAAATGGTAAAATGATATGTTATTATACATTATGACATCATAATTTCTGTTTTATCATTCAGTTCATTTCACAAGGGATTTTCATGGTCTTCTAACCCCTTATGCATTAAAGGTGCTTCATAAAAGATTTATCCACTCCGATGGTTGTAGGATTAGGCATATTGTTGGCGACACATATGAAGTGAGTAAGTATTCAACCACCGAAACCGTGCAATTAGACTGTGGTATTTGTAGTTGCTGTAAATGGCAAAAATATCGTATACCTTGTGAGCATGCTATAGCTTCACTACAAAGGCTTGAAATTGTAGAAATCCAACAAATGGTAAATTTAAAGGTAACTACCGCGGTGTATCGAAATGGTTTTCAAACTGAGACGGCCAATCCTATTCCAACCCTTAGACATTGGGAAATACCAGTTGAAAGTGTTGTCGTCTTACCACCACGACAATTCACTTGAACTGTAATGTATGGATCACAACGAATATTAGTTTGTATTCAGTTCTATGTAAACCTTACTTTTGGTCCGTTGGCGTTGTTTAGTTTTTAATAAATAATGTTTACCTTTTAATTAATAATTGTATTCCCATAATTGTAATGTATGGATGACAACGACTTGACACACAGCTAAGCGAACTGACAAACAGCTCTGTGGACTGACAAACAGCTCTGCGGACTGTCAAACAGCTCTGCGGACTGACAAACACCTTGGTAAATAGTTACAAATTATTTTGAAATTTAATATGAGTTCATCTTCAAATTTGTATATTTGCTCGTGCAACGAACTTGATTGTTTCTATTGTGATCCAATCGACCCTTTTCTTGCCCCATCACCAAACATAATAGAGTCGTATATGTCTGATGATACTTTGCAACAATTACAATGGGCTGAAGAACAACAAAGAAAAGATAAAGAGTCATCTCGGGCTCTCACTGAACGTCGTGACCTCATTGCGGCAGAGTGCAAAGAGGTTAAGGAAAGGATGCAGATTAATAAAAAAATCAAAGATCATGAGGAATGGATAAAAAAGACTAAGATGACTATCAAATTGACTGAAAAATGGCTTGCTGTGAAGGATGCAGAAATGATAGATCTTGGGCGGCAAAAGGACCGTTTTGAAGATAAAATAAGAATTAGGGGAAACTATATAACAATGGAGAAAGAAAAGTATCCATTGCATTTCCGTTAAGTTAATTACTGTTGTTGTACGTTTATTATGTGTTTTTTTTTTGTTCTATGTATTATCTTCGAGCTTTAGTTATTATTCTACTACTAATGATGCACTAATATGATCATAATATTACCCATAATCTTTAAAGTAACCACACCATTTCAAAGTACACAATCAACGTCTTCCAAAACATAACATAATTAATTATAAATACAACATCAATCATTCAAATCAAATGTTGAACAATAGTCTTCTCTTTGCGTCCCTTGCGTCCTGCGCGTCTCTTGTGCCCCTTG